CCATGATGTTCCATTGATTTGGTTTTCAATTTTCGTCTCAGTAGTAAATGCCCATGAAATTCGTCGGTGACTTGGCATCGTGCAACAAACGACGAACCCGACTCTCAGTGTCACCGCGTGCGCGCAGGTTGGTCGGCTGGTCGGTCGGGTTTGGGGCGAGAAATGACTCTAATGTGCGTTAATTATTCAATGTTCCGCGTTTCGGAGCATCGAGCGAGCCTGACCAAGTGATTTTTCTTGCATCGTAATGTTGTCCACGTGCCCCGGAGCCTCGAAGTGTGTTGGTGTGTTGTGGCGTAGCAAATCGAGCGTGATTAATTTAATAGCTTCGGAGGAAGTTCTTCTGCCGTTCGGAAAAGTGGCATGGATGAATGCCCGGGCGTACTTCAGCGCTATATAATGCGTGTTTGGACCGAAAGAGTCATGTGGTAGGTGAAATTCTACACCATGTGAGCGGAGCAAGGAGAATGAATGGCTTTAGAGCATCGGGTTTAAGTGATCCAATAAATTTAGCGGTAATTTGTGCGGAACTATGCGAGGTGTTCGATTACACTTGATCGTAACGGGTTTCGGAACTAAATCAGTTCCAACTTTCCTCAAGATATGCAAGCGTATCTGCTTCATAAACCTTCAAAATTCGATACAATCTCATATGGGAAAGCCAACAAACCATATCTCTTCTTTAAGGCTTGAGGCAATTTTCCGCACTCGATATCGATAGGACTTGCCGCCGCTGTGGCAGAGAACGGATTGCAAATCTCTCCCCCGGGACCAGTGTGCGAGATTAATCGATTTAATTGATTTCGGCCGTTCCGATGACGATCTGCCGCGCGCTGCCTCGGACAACCGGACGACGATTGGCTGCCGCCATGTGGCAGTCGGCTTACACTTTGTGTGCGCTGTGGACGTTCCGCTGCTCGGTGAATTGTGTCGGGTCAGTAAATATATCAGTCGCGGGTCGGATGCTCCCTCGGGATATGTGGCGGATGATCTTGGGTGGTTTTGTTTGCCGCTTTTCTTGTAGGCTCACTTACGAATGGGCACTTGTTCGGAAATGTTGTTGAATGGATGGAGGTTCCTGAATTATTGCTTATGGTTTGCTTGATTTGAACATGATAGAATGGGGTCCCTTTGGATTAAATTTTGGAAGACTGTACAACAAACACATTATTATTTTTTTCAGATTCAACAAATCCAGACTTTTTAAATTGTTTCTCATTGTTGTAGCTGATTAGAAGATGGAAATTCTTTGTTTTTTTTTTAATAGTTATCGACTGCCATACCCCGTACAGACTACGGCTTATATCATGTAATATAGGCTGTCTTGCAATGAGCACTCATACATAGGATTTCCAGTGAAAACTAGATGTATGAGTGCTCATTGCAAGACAGCCTATATTACATGATATAAGCCATAGTCTGTACGGGGTATAATACCCCGTTCACATTACAGCGTATAGCACGTGATATACGCTGTCTTGCAATGAGCACTCATACATCTATAGTTTCCACTGTAAATCCTATGTACGAGTGCTCATTGCAAGACAGCCTATATTACGTGATATAGGCTGTAATGTGAACGGGGTATAAGTCATGTAATTTATTATTTTGGTAAATATTTAAAAGATACTGAGAAGCAAAGCACACTTGAAAAGTAGCGAAATATCTTCGGATACTGATGGGATTTGAACCCACAAATCATATCTAGTACACGGGTGCATTGCTAATTATACTATGGGACACGTGACAATAACACGAGTATTTGGCTAATGACATGTAGCATTAAAATCCGTTTCTACTGCAGCATTTTATTCGAAATTCAACGTCAAATCATGTTAAATATGTGCCTTTTGTAACTTGCACAGAAACCATTTGAAAAAATACAAATCATTCCATTACGCTACAGAAATAAATGCTCCCTATGACAGACTCATTAGATAAGCCATCGCGTTTTATTCAACCTTTTCTCGGGAATTGCACAACGAACAAAACAAGCTTGCTATCATCATCAGCTAATCCAATCCACCCGAGTGCACAAATCGCGTAACGGATCACCGTAGCCGGGTGTATCATTTCGGAACTATCCACTAGCTCGTTGCATCCAAGGTATAAGCAAAAAACAAATAAACAATTCAATTACATTAGCATTCATAAATGTCACCAATATCGGTGTTTAATAAATTACCGTACATGCAACAGTTGATTAAATGTGACAAGGCGCCTGCCGAACCGTGGAAAATGCTGGAGCTCGCTCTCGGGACCATAATCGCTGCTGACGGTGGGGACTCTCGCTGATGGGGTTGTCATACCGTTTGGGGCCAGCCCCGACTGCAGCGTCGTATTTGCAATTTAAACTTTTCAGCTGCTCGGTTGCATCATTCACAATTCACATCCAAGTAGGAAATAAAACAAATGCTCATACGAGTAGGTACTTCTCTCTCTCTTATTTTCAAGATCATGTTTGCATCGAACTACCACACCACCGACTGGTGGATCGGGGCAGGAATTACAACTCGCGCAGAAGCGGAATTTATTACCATATTATTATTCAATGAATTATGCAAATCTTGGCGCATTTTTTCGACCCATTGTGTCTCTTCTGGTGTGGCTCAGGGGGCTCTATGCGACAACGAGCAGTGACGACGACGACAACGACGAGGACGACGGTGCATAAATTAGCAGTTCGAGACATTGGTCTTCACGGAGTTTCCTCCGTTCGGTGGTTAGCTTGCAACGGCGGCAGCAGCAACAGCAGCAGGTATCCTGCTTTATTGGCAGGCGTTAGATGAACAGCTGTGTGAATTGGGAATGTGTGATCAGGAGTGAGTTATTTGATGATGATCTGCTAAATTACACTCGGGCAAAATAAACAGTGTTCTGTCAGCACTTCGATTGTACTTCGGGGATGAGCGCATTCAGTGTGAGCACGTCTTTTTGCAATTATTATAAGGGTACTTTTGCAAGGATAAGCAAAATCAATATCTTTTGATTTTGATGGTGCTTGAGTGCTTGGCACTGTGGAAGTCTGCAAGTAGTGGACGAAATACGCATATCTGTCAAAAGGTACGCAATTATAACGGAATTAAAAGGAAATAGCTCATCCCACTCACAAGCTTTTCACAAGTAACATTATTTTAATTTAGAAACTATAGAGTAGACTTACACTTAAGCAAGTGCGTATTCCGGGCATGAGAAAATAACAAATGAATACCTTATTTTGACGTGTTGATCAGCATGACATAAGAGGTAAAATACCAAAGAATACTAACAAAAAATTGCATGCAAAATACCAGCCTCGTAGTCTGCGAAGAGTCCGCAGGTCGCCTTCTAATTGGTCTTGTTCCTGATGGGTCGATTTCGAGAACTATTTTCACTGGGTCGTCGTGCGGCATTCTTACGACTTGCACAGCCCACCGTAGTCACCCATTTTTTGCAATCTTCTAGCAGCTGGTGCATTCGCCTCCTCCACGCTCCGTCATCCATCTACACTCTACCGTAGATGGTACGCAACACCTTCCGTTCGACAACACCAAGGGCGCGTTGGTCCTCCACGATCATAGTCCAGGTCTCGTGGCCGTAGAGGACCACCGGTCTATACAGCGTCTTGTAGATAGTCAACGTCGTGCGTTGATGGAAAGTCCAATGCACCTAGCTTCTGCCTTCAGTCTGATGTACGTTTCCGCCATCGTGTCAAAGTTCCGTGTCATGATGTTGAAGCTAAGATGGACTTCCTGAAGATCGTGCTACTCGTGTCTATCCCAGCTCTTCTGATCACACCTTCTAACGCGAAAGTCCATCACCTTGCCGTAACCCCCTTCGAGATTCAAAAGGACTCGAGAGTGTCCCCGATACTCGAACAACGCACATCACTCGATCCATCGTCGTCCTGACCAATCGTGTCAGTCTATCCGGAAATCCGTACTCGTGCATAATCTGCCATAGCTGATCTCGATCGATTGTCTCTTAGTTTACCGTGTGTCGTTTACGCGGTACAGATTTTCCATCGCCTCGCGATTTCGGTCTTCCTGCTGACGTTTCTTCCTTCGAAAAACCGAGTTTTGTCTGTTCCGCGCTCCACATTCAATCTCGTGTGGTGTTGCAGCATTCTCGCCCGTGCTGCATTCTTCTCCTCTACTAACAGTTTACATTCGCCGTCAAACCAGTAATTTCTTCGGTACCGCTGCAACAGTACTACCTATGGCGGAACGGTCCCTCCAGCCATCTTTAAGAGCAGCTGCGCCAAGCTCCATGGGTAGTGCAGCTTCCAGCTGCTGCGCGTAATCCTGGGCAACTCCGGAGTACCGTAATTGCTCAATGTTGGGTCGCGGCGTTTGACTTCGACGGGTGTTTTGCACCGTTGAGACTTTTAAGTGCAAGCATAGTGCAACTAAGTAGCGCTTCTTTCTCGTCGTCGGGTCTCCCTTTGTATGGTCAGTGCACGTTGATGAGCTTGCACATCCTCGCGTTGATTGGCTGCAAATCAATCACGCGTTGACGCATCTTACCCAGCACTACAAACCGGTTCCCAGGTCATTGGTGGTGCCACACCTCTGGTAGAAAGTAGCCGCTCGATGCCCGCTTTCCCATACTTTTTGTTCCGTTCAGCAAAGTTCCTGCAGTGTTACGACTTCGAAGTTGCGTGGTTGAAGATCGACATAGATTAACCTATCGCAGCCAGGGAAGCCGAGCGATTTGCAGTTCCATGTTCCGAGTTTCCAATTGTAGTCCTTATTTCGTCGCGTGGTTGTGCCAATTGATCCGATCCGTATTTCTTTCTTCGGTATTTGCAACTTTATAGTTTTTCCAGGGCGGATTGTTAATCAGCACAAACTATTTATTAGGAGGTAACTAGGATAAAAAAACTCTTTGAGTGCCAATCATCCTTACTACAATGTAACACGAAAGCACCACTCAAATGAGGAATATGCTTTAAAAAATTATTTCCAATTCAAAAAGGCTGAAAACAAATTATAAATCCATTCCAATTTAAATTTTTCTACCAGAATCTTTACAAAATTTTCAAATTTTCTGTATCTAGAAATCTAAGAACACTTGAAGTCTAAGATATTTAAAGTAATAATTAATATAATCAGGATAAAACAAAATGAAAATGGAAGTTGTAAGTGTAAAGACACCCTGGACTTTGAAGAGCTTTTGATACTTGATAAGTTTAAAAACGGTGATACCTGCAAAATTGCCTAGATTGGTGTTATTCATGAACGACGTGATTAATCCGATGATTATTCCACTGATATTTCTAAACGACTGTTTGCTTAGTTTGTGAGCAACCCCAGTCTACTAACAAAGGTTTGTTTTACATTCCTAATAAATTTTTCTGTTAATGCATTGGGGGAATCAACCCCTCAGTTGTCACTATGGATGTGAAAATATATAATTTACTTGAACATCCAGAAAGATCCGATAATCACAATACAACCTGAATTTTCAGATCCAAGTGTAAAGATATAATATATATAGGGTGTCCCAGAAACTACTAGCACACTTTCAACTCGCCGCCATTTCAACCCCGATGAAGTTTATCAGATGTTGCTCGATTGCCCCTGTCAATCGAAACTTTGTGGGCCCTTGGAGATATCTACGGAAGCACTTTAAGGCAGCGAATTCAATCGAAGAATTTGAAAAGGACTGGACAAAGAGGTCAAAATTATCGCCAAGGCAGCGTCAGATCAAAATTTCGCTCCTTAGCATTCGATTAAAGGAACTGCATACGATTAAAGGAACATATTTATGAATTAATAATTTGAGTTCATTAACATAACGTTGTTTTATTCCAATAATAACTGTGATTATACTTTCTGGGACACCCTATGTATGGAAAACATGCTGAGCATGAGTTTTTAAGTCTAATGTTAGTTTGCCTAACGTACGTATGCCTAACTATAGTTGCTATATTCATAGTCTGATGTATAGAATCTCGTGAACCAATTGAGCTATCCAATAGCGAAACCAATCGAGCAAATCACGACCAACTACAGAAAAGAGCACATCAGCTATTGCTAAAAAAAACTTCGGAAACCCTTTTCTCGTGACTCAAGGCTCGCCTATGCGAACTAACACCATCGTTGAGTTGGGGAAAGTTTCCTCTATCCGATGATGCTTATAATTTGCGTTCGATGGGCGAGGAAAGAATAATCAACGTTTTGTTTATTAAAGTTGATAGTACCTTTTCAATTGTTGGTGTACAATATATTGAATTGGTTCCGCTCTTTGATAGACCGAAATTCTATCCGCCAGACTATAAATATAGCGACTATATGTCTAACGACCCTCTGTAAAACGCATTCATGCCTACAGGAGTATACCTTAATCTTTTTGGCATTGTTATTACAATATCCCTAAAATTTTCCTTAGCATTCTCTTCAGAGTTCTTATCAAATTCTTCTCTGAATTTCCTTTGGAATTATCCTTGAAATTCGCGTGGACTTTTCCTTCAGAGTTTCCATGGAATTCTTCTCAGAATAATCAAGTAATTCTACTCGTAACTAAATTGGGCTTCATACTAAACTTCACCTGAACAAATAATGTTCAAATATTGGTGGAATTTTTTTTTAACATTGGCAACTTCAATGTTTGCATTAGTTTTGAACATATTTCTATCACTGGGTTTAATTTATTTCAAACTACAGGTTTCTTATGGCGTTTCTGAATTCTTTCTTGTATACTTTTAGCTATTACGTCCCTACTGCAACTTAACGCCAGATCTCAAATTTTGTTTTTGTTTCAAGCACTTTCACAGTTGTTTATTGGAAGCTTTCAAAATCTGTATAGACCTGTAGTACTGCTGGTAGATCACCTTTTTGTGGTGCATAACTGGTATAATATCTACCACATCGAACTCTGGCCCTAGGTTCTTCTTGTTGCCAGTTATGAGCCTCGGTTTTGAGATTGGAAACAAGAAAAGGTATGGGCCAGGGTTCTGCTGCATGGTCAAATATCAGTATCATCGTTTGTTTTTGTCACTACACACAATTTTTTTTAATGAAATCTCTTCAGGTTAACGTTCGGTAAACAGCTCGGTGATTTTTCACAGTTTTGTAACCAGTTGGTTACAATCCGTGGATTTTCGTTTGTATGAGTTGTTGTTGTTTGGAAAATTCACGAGTTTTAATATCAAAGACAGAAGGCAAAACACAGCAGCGAGAGGGTTAGTACCGCTGCAAAAACACTCGAACGATACTAAAAGGAGGAAAATCGTAGTCTTAAGCTAAAAATGGAGAATGATCGGCAAAAGGCATGCGAGTGGCCATCTTCTAAAAGATAAAATCTTTTAATTGGCAGAAGTAATCAGGCGTCCGTGTAGACCGGTATCGTAAAGTGCAGTGCCATTTAGTGTAACCCCCCCCCCCCCCCCCCCTTGTGGGGTTTCTGGGATGTTGGACTGCCTCCGTTCAGGACCTCGTACCGTAAATAAAACGGTCTTACACGGCTCGGCTCGGAAGTCAAGATGGCTTCCGAGCCTAATAGTAAATGATCCTCGATCGATCCTCAGGCGGGTGGCCTAAATTGCCAAGGAGAGTCCCGTCTCGGCTCGACCAAGGTGGCCATGCCACGGTCAGCCGATGCCGTCAATGACGGAAGATGCCTGCCAGCCAAACGAGCCAGCAACGCCTTCTGAGCCGTATGTGGCTGATGAACGCCAGCAGATCCGCACATTCTCCCAAAGCTGCAACAACACTGTCTGCGCCACAAGTTTCCGGCCACACGGTAGTGCAGGAGCAGCCGTGTGGGCCAACGCCAGCGTCGCGACGCCGTAGGAGATCCCGCTGCAGCAGTGAGTACAAATTTTTAAACCCTCGCATACACGCCACATATATGTGAAAACCCACACCCACACGCCACAGAAAAGGGCAAATAAATGTTAGAAAATGTGAATATTCCTGTGTGTTTCATACTTTGTCCGCGTAGCCCCTCCGAATACCCAGTAACATGCCGGCCCTGTGACACATTTCTCATGCTACTGAGCTAGTTACCCGGGAGTGTCTGGTCATGCCATAGTCACAGTTTTCTTGTAATTTTTCACAGATATTTCGGGGACAATTACAGGAAAACTTTGAAAAATCACTGGAATGCTTACCGCACGTTCAGCTGTTGAGGTTTCGGTAAAATTTCACAGAATTTTGTGAAATAATCTTAGTGTGTAAGACGACCTATTTTGATTTTTGAGAAGGCACGTATTTGGAGAGGTCTAAGAATTTTTCAAATGATACGGAACATCACAATTAATTGAGGATTCATGTAAGACCTATTTTGATTGATGAGAGAATGCGTTTTTGGAAAGATCCCAAAACGTTTCGAATCATGTGGACCATCGGAATTGAATTATACTTCATGTGAGAAGAGCAAGTACATATGTATGATTTAACTGTATTGAAAATGAATCCCGCGGCGCTGGTGGTGTAGTGGTAAGCGTGATTGCCTCTCACCCCAGCAGGCCTGGGTTCAATCCCAGTCGGCGCCACCAGGATGTTCTGAGGCATAACATCTCTGATCACGCCTTCCTTCGGGAGGTAAAGCCGTTGGTCCCCGGTTCATGAGTTGATGGGTCGATAGGTAGGGTCCAGGTGTGGGAGCTGCCTCCCTGGCGTCGGTACCATTGGTGCTCAGCACGGAAAACAAGATCGACGGAAAACAAAAAGAAAACGAATACCTCATTACTTTGTCATAGTAATACGGTAGGTACTACGGAATACACTAAAGAAAGGACAATGACATATCACAAAAGATCATTGGTCACAGCGATTATGATCCGAACAATGAAAAAAAAACCTGTTGGAGCATTTCCAGGCCAAAATGCAAACCAGTTGGACATAAGTGTGTCCGATTTGAATGAAACATTACACACATGGTCGCTGCTACCAATGGTTGAATTTTTTATTTATATATGATTTTTCATCACAGTAACTTTTAAAAACAGCGTATTACTAATATTACTAAAATGGATGATATATTTTCAAAAAATCATAGAATCTGAGAAAAAATGTTGGTAAATTATTTTTTTGGGAAAAATACACTGAAAGAAAAAAGTCAGTAAATTAATATTTAAAAAAAAACGTAATACATTGTTTATTTTACAACACCCCCCTTCGATCTTTCCCATTTGTTTAATGTAGAAAACTGAAGAAAAGCTTTTATATTTGGTGAAGAATTTAGGCTGATAACTTGCTGAAAAACAAAATCTTTATTAATTTTTAATTTTTGGTGATTGTTCAACTCAATGAAATGGCATATTTATTAGTAAAATAATAATTTATTTGCACTTAACGCATAGTTTTCGATTAATTTGCCCGTATAACCATTTTTCCTAAGTCCAGTATTTCTCAAGTTAATGCGAAATAATAATATTAGTAACAATAATTTTCAACATTTTACACTATTTTCAAATATAAGTCGTGATGTCCAGCAAACTAAATGTTTATTCCTTGATTTTTTTTTATTAAAAACAAACAATTCATTCTCAGATATGGTAGCTGTCAGACCTACTATTTTTTATTTAGACGCAGCGGAAGAGAAACACAGATAAGAAACAGTATTTATTTATTTTTATTATTTTTTTACAGCTCAAATTATTTGAATACATTGAATATTTTGGGTACATCGTTTGATTGTTTTAAATTGGAATATAGCAATGACATTTTCGAGTTCCAGGAATTGGTTTCACTTCCTTAAAAATTGGATAAAATTCCTTGTCAGCCTTTTTGTTTGAAGATCCTCTTTACAACTATTTGCCCAGTCATACAGTTGCTTAGGGTTCGATGTAGGGTGCTCGTGTTGTTAGCTAAACTTGCTCTGGTTGCCATTCTCTTAAGGGTACCTCCAATCGCATCACAAGGACTTATAGATTTTTTTAAGCAAGTCACCAGCCTACACTCTTCACCAAATTTTAGAACATTTCTTCAGTTTTCTTGATAAAAAAATATTAAGAGTGAAGGTGGGGGTGTTTTGAGATCGTAAAAGTTTTACTTTTTTTCAATGTTAATTTACTAAGT